CATCAAGAATTGGATTAGGGTGTGTGCTAATGTAATATGAGAGAGTTATTGCTTATGCTTCTCGTCAACTAAAGAAGCATGAGCGGAATTACTCTACTCATGATTTGGAGATGGCGACGATTGTCTTCGCCTTGAAAATATAGTGACATTATTTATATGGAGAGACTTGTGAGATTTACACGGATCACGAGAGTTTAAAGTATATTTTCGAGCAAAGGGACTTGAATTTGAGGCAAAGACGGTGGATGGAGTTGCTAAAAGACTATGATTGTTCTATATTGTATCATCCAGGAAAAGCAAATGTGGTAGCAAATGCATTGAGTAGAAAGTCAATTGGGAGTTTAGCCCATATAGTAGTTGAGAAGAGGCCATTGATCCAAGAATTATATGATTACATAATCGGGTGATTCAATTGGAGATTAATGATAGTGGAATATTGTTAGCTCACATGAATATACGACCGGTGCTCCTAGATCGGATCAAAGCAAATCGAGCTAAGGATGAGCAATTAGAAAAGATTAGAGATGGAGTTGTTAAGGGTGACGGGAAGGAGTTTAGGGTGGATAGTGATGGTGTACTCCGACTTGGTGTTAGGCTATGTGTTCCTAATGTGGAGGATTTAAGGAGAGAGATTATGGAAGAAGCACACCGATCTACATACACGGTACATCCTAGTTCAACTAAGATATATCAAGATTTGAAAGGAGTGAACTGGTGGAGTGGAATGAATAGAGACATTGCGGATTTTGTGTCTAAATGTCTAGTGTGCCAACAAGTGAATTTTGAGCACCAAAAGCCTTCGGGATTACTTCGGGAGTTGCCTTTATCGAATGGAAGTGGGAAAGGGTAACAATGGATTTTGTGGTAGGGTTGCCTCGTACTCAATATGGGTGATTGTGGATAGGTTGACGAAGTCGACTCACTTTATTCCATTGAAGACTACTTACACGAGTAGCTCGGTATGCTCAACTATATATTGATAAGATAGTGAGCCTTCATGGAGTACTCGTATCTATAGTGTCGGATAGGGGCACACAATTTACATCATAGTTTTGGAGGAAACTTCAAGAGGCATTGGGTACTCGATTTGACTTTAGTACTTGTTTTTCATCCGCGGACGGATGGTCGGTCGGAGCGTACAATCCGGACACTTAGAGGACATGTTGAGAGCATGTGTTATGGATTTCAAGGGTAATTGGGAGCATCATTTGCCTTTGATTGAGTTTGCCTATAATAATAGTTATCGGTCTAGCATTGACATGACTCCATATGAGGCTTTATACGACAAAAGATGTAGGTCTCCGTCCGTTGGGAAGAAGTAGGGGATAAAAAGTCAGTTGGGTCCGTAAATGGTACGAGTTGACTACGGAGAAGGTAGCATTAATCGGGAAGCGTCTTAGGATAGCTCACGGTAGGCAAAAGAGTTATGCGGATTCAAAGAGAAAACATATGGAATTTGATGTTGGTAATCATGTATTTCTTAAGGTGTCACCAATGAGGGGGATCATGCGGTTTGGGAAGAAAGAGAAGTTGTCTCCTAGATACATTGGACCATTTGAAATATTGGAGAGAGTGGGAGCGAGTGGCTTATAGATTGGCTCTTCCACCGGACTTTTCGAGAGTCCACCCGAGTATTTCATGTATCTATGTTGAGAAAGTATGTGGCGGATCCTTCACATGTAATTGAACCACAAACTATTGAGCTAAGTGAGGATTTGAGTTATGTGGAGCAACCAATTGCAATTGTGGATCGTCGAGTTAGAAAACTTAGGTCTAAAGAGATCATTTTAGTTAAGGTTCAATGGAGAAATCATTCGTTAAGGAGGGCACGTGGGAATTAGAAGTCGAAATACGAGACAAGTATCCACATCTATTTCAAATTCAAGGTATGTAGTCATTTTTTTTTAAATTCGAGGACAAATATTTTTATAAGAGGGAGAGAATGTAATACCCATAAACCCATGTAAGTAAATAAGAGAGGGGTTTTTAAATAAGGGGCATTAGGGTAATTTAAAAGCAAAGAAAATAAAGAAACAAAAGGGAAAGAATTGGCGAAATCGGAAAAGAGAAACAAAAGAAAAACGGGAAAGGGGGAGAGAAAGAAAAAGAAGAAAGGAAAGAGAGGAGAAGGAAAGAGAGGAAGAAGAAGACTCGCCTTCGACCACCCACTCCGACGACGGCGGTGGTGGAGTGACTCGAGTAAGAAGAAGAAAAATAAGGGTAAAAAAAGGTGAAATAAGGAAGAAGGAAAAAGATTTATTAAGTTAGTTTTTGGATTTTTTTTGAATGTTTTAGTTTATTATAACCTTAATTAGGATGTGTTATAGGTAATTTAATGAATTTCATTTTGAATTAAGAATTTGAATTAGGGATTAGGTTTAATTAAAATTAGGGTTTATGTTAGTTTAGGAAATTTAGGGAAAGTGAGTGAATGGGTTAATTAAGGTCCAATTAAGCTTGAATTTCAATTTATTAGTGTCTAATTATTGTTATTATTGATGAATGCAAATTTATGATGATAGAGGTAAGAGAGGATTTGGTGGGAGAAGCTACTTAAGGAAGAGACAATTACAATTTAGGGTGTTCCTCTAGATTAGAGGTAAGTATAACACCTATTATGAGTCTTTACTATCATATATATCTATATTGCTTGTGAGGTGAAAAATTGATTGTTTGGATAAATGCTTAATTATTAAAAATAATTACATGTGAATTGAATTATTTTAGTATAGATGAATTGAATTGGTATGTTGCCATATGAATTATGGTTATTAAAGGAATATTGATACATTGAATGGTATATGTGCATGTTGATACGATGATCACTTGCATTAAATGGAATTGTGTGATTGCTATGTCGTTGAATGATAATAATGAGATTGATGACTTGAAAGAAGTCTATGCGGGACTAACTAAGCTAACAGGGTTATAGTTAGCCTAGGTGCACCTAGTATTGCTTGGTTAGGGAATGGCCGCGATGCTTCCCTCAAAGTTTACCCTGCGGGGCTAAAGTTTACGAGTTACCCTTGCGAGGGCCATAGTTACCCTTTTGAGGGCCAAATGAATAGACGGTTCTACATAACGTGATTTCAAAAAATTGTTATGCTATTATTAATTGTTAAGAAAGAAAGAAAAAGAAAAAGTTATTGATTGCTTGTTTGGTTGCAAATCATGTATGATAGGTGCATTGACATAATTGTATGTATTGTGATTTATAATATGTGTTATGCTTACTGATTTTTGAAAACTCACCTCCGACCTCAAATATTTTGTAGATAATACGGAAGCTAGATCATAGAAGGAGGACGATAGATTTTCCGAATTTGAAGGTACTATCCGGATATTATTTTGCTTCCTCCGGGTATAGGACATGGTTGTTTTAAATTTGTATTCATTGTCCATTTTGGAATTGTAATTAGTCATTGTGTATTTTATTTCACTTAGTTGCTCCGTTGGTAGCATTACCAAATCCAGGGATAGCTAGTTAAGGGTCTCCATATTTTGTATTTGGATGGTTAAATGGTGGTTTATAAATTGGGTTATGTTAAATATTGGATTATGTGTATTTTTATCAATTTAGTAAATGCGAGATTTATGAGGAAGCGTGGATGTCCGATGGAGGGACTTGAGGATGATTGAGAATTGGTGAAGATGATTTGGAAGTGTACATCTATTGTGATTTTTATGTAGGATATATTATTTTTGGGATTGTCCAATTGTAGGGGAAATCGTCGTCGAAATTTCTATAGGAAATAGAGCAAGGATTAAGGCTTACGTAGCTCGTGGTGGGTCACCCCAACCCGAGCTACATGCCGATCGCGGCTCGCCATTTCGGGTTGTGACGATAGCCCCGGTGTCGAAACTTTCCTAAAACAAGAGGCATTAGCATCGGTCGAGGCGATAGTAGTAGTAGTATATTTACTAACTTTCGTCCGTTTTCCCAACTTGCCGGTGACTCAACTTTTGTGTACTTGTTATGTGCGTTTTTTATCCGGACGGAGGTTACCGAGTCCGTTATCTAGAAGATCCCTTTTGAAGCGGAGATTTTGATAATATATAATTAGCATTCATGAGGAGTTAAGCATATGTTTTTGTACTTCGTTTAAAATTGTTTTTCAAAGTACACAACCCCAAAAAAAAAAAAAGCTAATGATTTAATTGTTATTATATAATGAGATCAATATTTAATTTTTAAAATAAATGAGTCTATGACATGTTATTTTGTTGATTTTTTTCAACTAAATCATAAAAAAATCACTTAATTTACACACGATTAATTTTTTTTTTAAATACTCACATTTAGGTAATGCTTTCTAGAGGCATTTTAAAAAAAAGTTATGTACACATCATGTAATTTTTTTTTCAATTATTTGGTCAGAAAAATTCACCTAAAAATATATTAAAAAATTATTTAAAATACAAAAATATAAATGATTCATTTTGACATATAAAAATAACTTTTTATATGAAAACAAATTGTATCATTTTCAAAAGAATATGTATTTTCAAAAGCTAAGAATATGTATTTGGCTTGGATTTAAAAGAGTTAGTAATATAAGATACATCAAAAAAAATTGAAAATATATCTAAATTAATGTTTTTTTAAGTTCAAATATATTTTTGTAAAATTACTGCATAGCATTGGATGACATTGGGGGGAGAAGGGAGACAAAAGAGGAGGAAGAGGAAGAGTACGTGAGGGGAAAAAAAGAGAGAGGAATTTGATAAGTAAAGATAGAGGGACGCAGAAGACCAGACAGGTAGGACCCACAAGCATCATCAATCTCTCCTTCCTCGTCCACCCCACCAAACCGAACTAAAAAGCCTTAACCTTTCCCCTTTGCTACTCTTTCCAAGCCAAACCAAATATCAACATCAATATCAAGTCATCAATTTTGTTGTTTCTCTTCTCATATATTTACCACATCTTTGCTTCTAAATTAACCCTCAATTAAACTTCTTCTTATTATTATTATTTTGCTTTATTTGTGTTATATTCGATGCAAGGTGGTTTTGTAGGTACTGGTCGTGGAGGTGGAGGAGGAAGTGGTGGGTCTATGTGTATGTCGTCGGTGTCAAGGGAAGATAACGTGGTGATGTCATCGGAGGACTCATCAAGCCCAGATGAGGGGGAACTTGAACTGGGTCTTGGCTTGAGTATTGGTGGTGGTGGTGGTTTTAAGTGTTCTGGTCAACGTACTATTCAAAAATATGCAAGGTTTTTTACTGCTAAGGATTTGCCTTCCAAGGTTTCTGCTTCTTCTTCTACTTCAACGACATCGTCTTCTTCTTCTACCTTGAGTAGGGCTAACGGTACTGGCACTGCTGGGACTAAGAGGACTGCTGATTCTGTTTCTGCTTCTAATGGTGCTGCCAGGTTGTAATTAATACTGTATTGTCTTCTTTTTTCGGAAAAAAAATATATATTTGGATTGTTTGTAGTCAAGTATTTGCCTCCTTTTCTATCTTGGTTTGGTATATTGTTGATTTGACTGATTTGGATGTTTAATTTTGCTTTGTTATGTTTTTCCTATTGCTTTCTTTGCCTTGAAAATTGGAGGAATTTATGCATGCTCTCTTGATCCCATGATCCTTCGACCTAGAATACTATTGTTATTGTTTATGTTTTGCCCTAATTAGGATCTTTTTTATGTTTTCCTTCAATTGTTACTTTTTAGGTCCCACTTTGGCTTGAATGGAAGACAGAATAGAATTTTCATTTCGGTTTCTTGATTATGTCCTTTGTGGAATTAATGAATCTAATAGATTGATACAGTCTCAATTGGGAAATTTTTGCCCAAAAAGAAAAAAAAAAAAAAAAAAGGAAGAAGAAGAAGAAGAAAAAGAACCCTAGTTTAAAATGAAGAAAAGAAATATAGATTGTGACATCAAGTTCATCCCTAGTTGAAGGTCCTAATACTTGGCTTTAAGAAATGAAGGCTGCAAGGAGAAAGAGAAACAAAATCCTTTCAAATGATAGTTAACACCCCTGATCTTTTATTTCCTTGATTTGTGATTTTTAGAGTCTCAGTGAATATGGCTTTGAACATCTAATTCTCATGGCTATATTTGCTAAGGTTAGCGAGTGTGGAACCAACAATTTTTTTTGGTTAGATCATGCACATCAATTTTTGCTTTTGAAAAAAATTGCATAAATGTTTATGGGATCTTGTTTCCGAGAGTAGATCATGCACAAATTTAGAACTTCTGGTTAATGTGGAGTTCACCACTACCCTCTTGCTGTACCTTATAAATAAAGAAGTCTCTCATTCTTTCTGAGCTACACTCGATTTGTTTGTTTTTCTTCATGCCACACTAATCAGACTCATTTGATGGTGCTAGAGTAATGATTCTAACTAGTGTTAGTTGATGTGCTGATGGTACAATAATGGTTGATTGAGATGTTGTGTAGATTAAATCATGGCACTTATCTTGCCATTTGTGCTGTCAAAAACTCTCTTTTGTTCTGTGCATCTTGTGCTGGCAACTTATGCATCTTGAAGTTGTTTTATAATCTTCCACGCTGTTAGATATGTATCATGTTTCCCTGTGCATACCCTTTCACTGGTTAAACGCTGCCAAGTGATGTGTTGGAATTTTGTAGATTGACCTTGGCATTAAGCCATTTTCTTGTATTTCGTTTCCCTTGGGCAACATTTGTACATAGACTGATCCCAATCCACTTAACCCTTATCAGTTGAGCCATGGCCCTGGGACATGTATAAGATTTTTATATGAGAAGTTATTTGTTCCCATTTTTTTAGCACTTGGTAATATAGATATTTTCCTTTCTGTTTCGTAAGTTAGCCTTGATTTTATTGTCAATATTCTAAATTTACTTTCATTTTCTCATGGTTTTGTTTCTCTATCATTCCATTCTGAATCTTGAAGCAGTCCAGTTGTTGGGTGGCCTCCAATAAGAGCTCATAGAATGCACATCATGGTTAACCAGGCAAAGTCACTGGCTACTGAAGAGTTTAACTCAATGAATGAGAAAAATAAAAGCAATAATGCTATAGTAGGGAAGACGGGCAATGAAAACATGAATATTGGCAATACCAAGGCTAGGACTTGCCTCTTTGTCAAGGTGAATATGGATGGAATTCAAATAGGTAGAAAGGTTGATCTGCATTCTCATGGGTGTTATGAGACACTAGCTCAAGCCTTGGAAGATATGTTTCTAAGAGCTACCGCAGCTATCAATACAACAAGTGAGTTTTTCTCATCCTTTCATCTCAATCATCTGAATGATGACTTATCCCATTATTTAATGGGACTTCTGGGTTTTTAACCTATGCTGATTGGAAATTACTAATAGTATTGGTCTTTCATGATATGATGATTAAACGTGATCTGAAATGTAAACCCAATGTTACTTTTTATGAATGCTTTGCTAATTGCAAACCGGCTTTGTTCAATAGCAGTTAGATATATTTTTCTCATTTTAGATTCCCCCCAATATATATGTTGATGACTGATTATAAATGTTTGTAAGCTTCTCATTTGTTTTGCTTGTTCTATGTGGGCAAAATGTCTGTCTCACCTATAAGCTTCTGCATTTATTTATTCAATAATTTTTTTTCTTTTCTCATTCTTCTTCTTTTTTTTTTTTTTTTTTTTTTTTTCCAAAACTGAGTTTCTAGGGAATTTTGGCAATATTAACTTTCTTGGGTAGGGCAATTGAAATTTTTCAACACATAGTATATAAAAGTTCTAAAATAAATGATTTAACTGTATCTCCAATCATGGAACAGCATTCTTTTATTCAAGTAAACTAATGAAGGTAGATACTAGATATTAATTTGATTGCTAGTGGATTATGTGTACTTAGGATTGAGCGCACCTGAGCATAAAATAATGGTAGATGCAAAAAGACACTCAAAATTGCTGGATGGGTCATCAGAGTTTGTGCTCACTTATGAGGACAAGGACGGGGATTGGATGCTTGTTGGAGATGTTCCTTGGGGGTATGTATCATTCACTCAACATTATCATTTTGTAGTACTTGATTGTGACAAGTGATTCTTCTGTTCTAGGATCATACCTTCATATATGCTTACATGACATAATAACAAGCTCTCCGTTTGCTGAAACTGATCGCCTAAGTGATAGGCCTACCAACATGTTAGAGTGATCAGATGGTTCTGACATCTTATTTTCAGATTATGTTGGGAAAGCTTTCAACTTTTTACATTTGAAAATTACATATTTTGGTTTTCTGATTTCTTTTTTCCCCTCTTTTTGCCTTGTCAACAATTCATTGCTGTACATTTTTGTAGCTTCTAATGAGTCCTTTTATATGGCCTGTTGGTGACATGAATAATCTCCTTGCTTTTAACGTGTGTTTTACATTCACTCAGGATGTTTATTAGCTCTGTGAAGAGGCTCAGAATCATGAGGACATCTGAGGCAACTGGACTTGGTAAATTAATGCGAATCAACATTATGATTCACCTCTAGATTTTGCATTTTTATTTATACATTTTTTCTTCAAGTACAATACAATAATCTTCACAATTACTAATTATGTTTGGCCAATTCTTGATATGCAGCTCCAAGCATGCAAGAAAGGAATGGAAGACAAAGAACCAAGCCTATATAGACGTGTCCCTAAATATCCCTAAATACAAGTAACGAAGACAAACTTTGGATTGAAGAGTGATATACAAAGGAAGGAAAAAAAGAAAAAAGAGATTATAGTTAAAAGTTATAACATTTTGATAAAAAGTAATGAATTGTCCTCGGTGGCTTTGTGTTGGATTTTGGTTGCTGTGTCTTATCATATTATTTGTTCATTCTTGTTATACCTCTGAAAATACCCGCCATACTTTTTTTTTCTGGAAGCAACGAGCGCCTACTTTTTGTTGTAATATATACATGCATAGTTCACTGGATGGCACTTACTGACCTGTAAATTCCGAAATTTCTCACTGTACGGATATGAATGAACTTTTTGCTCCTTCTGCTCTTGAACATTTCTAATCTTTATTTGTTTAGCTTGTAGAATGTTCGACGCTTTGCCAATTAATTGGTTTTATAATAGTGTTTGTGATCATGATATTACTTGCAAAGTAGTTCTTATAGTCAGTACCTTATTTTGTTGCTGTAATGTGAAATGGTTGTGGAGATTTAGTTCTAATTAAAGGATTTATCAGAGTTCAGAATGATGAGAAGACTCATATTTGTATCTGGGCGTGCTGTATTTGCAGGCTGGATCTGAAGGCAATACTAAAAAAATAAGCTCTTGCAGTTTTTTGAGATGGATGAGAAAACAGTTTTCACCCTTTGAATTTTAAGCTGATGGATTTGCTTTCCTGTTGTCATGCGCTAAAGAATGGTATGGTAATGGATCAAGAAATGATGGATTGTGAGCATTTGTAACTACCAGAATTTTGATTGTTGTTGATACACAACACTTGATTATTGGAAACCTTGGCTTACAACACGAACTTGATGTGTTCTACTTGCTGACAGAGTCCAACCTCATATCCTTCTGGACAAATAATTTGAACCTTTGATTACAGACGTTAACAAAGACTAGATACAAAAGAAGAATGATGAAAACAAAATTAACGGAAAGGGAACTCAATTTCTGTTCCTATACAAGGCCATTTACAGGTGGTGTGCAAAAGATTGGCATGTCTTTGTTACTATCATATCCACTGCTGTTACTACTGCTTTTTCTCCTCGGTTTTGCCTCTCCAAGCATTGTTATCACATCTCTCATTGATGGTCTGTCCTTGGGGAGTCTGGCAGTACAAAGAAGTGCTATTCTAAGAACCAATAGCATCTCTTCTTGAACATGCTTGCAATTTCCTACGTTCTGGTATAGTGTCTCTTCTAATGATCTGTTGTCTCTAATCTTTCTTTGAATCCATTCAACGATGTCGATAGATTCCCCAAACTCGGGATCTAAGGGTCGCTTTCCTGTAAGAAGTTCTAATAAAACTACTCCATAGCTGTAAATGTCAATCTTTTCATCAACCTTCAAGGTGTATCCGTATTCTGCAAAAAGGATCGTATGACAACATGGTTAGTTACAGAGAAAACGTCTCAAAGCAATAAAGGATTGTTCAATTGCTCTGAATTTGTATCATAAACCATATGCAGCTGTCTTCTATAGTTTTACAGCAAACAACATTTTTTTATGAATTTTTCCTTTTGATGAATTCTATAGCCAACTACTACTACTAACATTTAGCAGTTATTCATTCCCTAGTTACTTCTAGGATCTGGTTGTTGCCTTCAAGAGCTGAAGTTGATAACTGATTGTAAACATAGTATTCAGATTTCTGTTAAAGAGAGCTCATCTTGAGATAAGACTGTAAACTTACCAGGGGCAATGTATCCGTAAGATCCTGCCACCACAGAAACTGTCTCGTTCTTCCTAATCATCATCCTTGCCAACCCAAAATCAGCAATCCTTGCCTCAAGATTTGTATCAAGCAGTATGTTATTGGACTTGATGTCTCGATGTATAACTGGTGGGTGACAATCATGGTGAAGATAAGCAAGTCCTTGCGCAATTCCAAGGGCTATATTATATCGCAATACCCAGTCAACAAGCAACCTCCCTGCTTGTTTGCCATGCAAGACTTCTCCAAGGCTGCCATTGTTCATATATTCATATACTATCATCATGTCGGCATCATTATGAAGAAAGCCTATTAACCGAACTACATTTCGATGTCTGAGCTTCCCCAAGAGATTCACCTCTCCAATGAAATCGTTGCTGCTTCCTGTTTCAATGTCTGTTCCTGATCTCCATAGCTTCTTAACTGCAACAACTGTGTTTAACCGTGGCATCTCAGCTTTGTAAACAGTCCCAGTTGCTCCCATTCCAATTACGTTTGATTCCTTTATGCAAGCGAGAATGTCGGAACTAGTGAAACCAAGCCTCTGGAATGCCATCAATCTCCAAGGCCACTCTCCACTGCCCATTTCGTAACTTTTTTCGAAGCAACTTCCTTTCGAATACCACCTTTTATAGAGAAATCGAGCTGCAATTAACGCACTTCCAACTGCTAAAACTGATGAAATCCCGACAAGCCATCTAGCAACTATGTGCTTTGCATGCATATTTCTTTGCTGCGATGCATTTAGCAAACTGTGGCTACATGGAGGCAGGACACCGCCACAAAGACCCACATTGCCAATGAGATCACCTGGATTGATTGTTCTTAGCATGCCATTTGCAGGAACAGGACCTTGTAGCTTGTTATACGAGACATTTAGCATTTCTAAGGCAGGAGAGGAGCCAAAATTCTCCGGTATTCCACCAATTAAAGAGTTGTTTGATAGATCAAGAATAGCCAGTGTGGGCATCATTGCAACTGCTTTTGGGATTTCTCCAGTTAATCGGTTGTTCTTAAGATTCAAATTTACCAGTCTCTCACACGAAGCAATGCTAGCAGGAATGGTACCAGTGAAATGGTTTGATGAGAGATCAAGCACAGAAAGTGAAGGACAGTCCTGGAATTGGTCTGGGATTTCTCCTTCTAAGTTATTGTTTGAGGCCATGAAGGTTTGTAGATTTTGAATGGAAAGAACTGTGGAAGGAAGAGGGGATCGAAGGTGGTTTCTAGAGAGATCAATGAAGGAAAGTGATGAAGAAAGAGAGAGATCATTTGGGATTTGACCAGTGAGGCTATTATTTGCCAACTCTAACCTTTGAAGCTTCCCTAATTTGCCAAGTCCAACTGGAATTGTCCCAGAAAGAAAATTGTTTTGCATACGTAGACGAACAAGTGAGAAACATGTTGATAAAGAAACAGGAAGTGGACCTGAGAAGGAATTGTTGAAGAGGATGAGCTTGGTGAGATTACCACCATTACACAAGCTTGCTGGAATCTCCCCAGATAAGGAATTGGATGATACGTCCAACCACTGCAATGGTGAATTCTTGCCGAGATCTCTTGGCAATGGACCTGAAAATGAATTGTTCCACAGCTCAAGCACCACTAACTGAGTCAACCCTTCAACTCCAACGGGAACTGAACCTGACAGCTGGTTGGACATCAGATTCAAGAGCTGCAAATTCTTCAAATTCACAATCTCAGCAGGAATTCCTCCCGAAAACTTATTATCAGACAGATCGAATAGTTGGAGTGAAGTGATGTTGCCGATTGTAGGTGGAAGCTTTCCTTCGAAATTATTCTGATACAGGAATACAGTCTCAAGTGCCTTAAGTGTCCACAATTCAGCTGGAATCTCACCACCAAGATTGCCTACTGCCAAATCAAGATACTTCAGATTAGTTAGATTTCCAAACTCTGGCGGAATTTCACCTTCAAACTCATTGTATCCAATAATTATTTTCTCCAGCGATGAAAGCAGCCCCAGTTCAGCTGGCAACTGCCCAGTGAGACTATTCCCAGAAAGGCCAAGAAACTTCAGCTTCTGCAAATTCCTGAAAGATTTTGGAATGGAACCTTCAAAGAAACTCCCTCTGAGATCAAGAGTCTCTAGTGAAGTCGCATTGCCAAGATCCTCAGGAATAATTCCCGAGAAATTATTGCTGGAAGCATTTAGCAAAGTTAGGCCAGCCGCTCTTCCAAGACCAAGAGGAAAGCTACCAATAAAGAAGTTCTGACTCATATCAAAGTCTTTCAGTGAAGTGAGGTTGGCTATAGCTCTTGTCAACGACGAAGAGAACCCATTGCAGCACAAGTTGAGAGAAGTGAGACTCTGTAGTCGTTGGATGTCATCAGATACATGCCCACTGATATTCATGTGGGAGAGATCAAGCTTTTCAACAGCTCCATTAGAGTTGCACCAAACTCCAGTCCAGTTACAATGAGCTGAACTGTTGGACAATTTCCAATCTTGAAGACTACTTAATGGATCTAAAAGACCAGCTTTTAGAGATAGTAAAGCTGATACTTCATCATTGACAACAGCAGAAACAAAAGAATAAAACCCAACGCAACAGTAGAGCAACCAAAGCAGGATTTTCAACTGCATACTGTTCTTGTTCATTGGCTTTTCAGTCAGTCTCTTAGTTCTCCACCATTTCAGTGGCAACACTTGGTGAAAGAGAGAGAGAGAGAGAGAGAGAGAGAGAGGTCTATGTGAGAGAAGATTGATTAGTATAAGAGTAGGTATATAAGTAATAAATTAAATTAAATAGAAATGGTGATTAGTAATTAATAATTATGGAGGGAGCTGAGCTCGTGAGGTCTTGGGTTCTGCAACAGCTGTTAATCAGCAAGTAATGACAGGGAAGCTTTTGGACTTATTGGAAGTTTCTCCGAGACATTAAACATGGCTAGAGAATGTGTTTTTTTGATTCTTACTTCTTATTTATTTATCTTCTACTTCTTCTTCTTCTGTTAGTTACAGTAATAGTCAACCACTAGAATTAATAAGTCGTCATCATATTTTTTATTCTTGTTTCATCATAAGGGAAACCTCCATGTAGCTCTGTCCGTATTACTTCATTATCAATTTATGTAGTTCCAAACGTTGTAATGGATTTTAGTCCATCTACGTAGTCAAATATTTCGTCCAATTTACATCTGTTTGTTAAGTTTTTATGTTAAAATTGACAAATAAACTCTAATACACCATAATGAATAATTTTAACGTCAAATTATAGCAAATTTCCCTTTAAAGAAGTGAAGTAGAGGTGAAAAAAAATTATGCTAAAATTGTCTTAGGATATATTAGAACTTAATTTGATATTTTGGATGGAAACATTTGGATTATGTGCAAATTAGACAGAATATTTAACAATCTCTAGCAATAGATGAATTAAAAAGTGACATTGCATTTAAAGCAAAATTGATAAAATCAAAAGGTTTTGAAACTCAATAATACATTAAGGGTTAATTGAGGTTTCTCCAAGATAAGATCATACATTCAATTATCTAGTTTACCGTCTTTCCCTTTTTTTCTTTTCTTTTCACAATTGACTAGTAAATTACAGTTAAAAAAAGCTGCTTTTGAGTACTTTAGATGCAATGTTATAAAATAGAAAACAGATGCATGCTTAAAATGATCTAGGATTGATCCTAGATTTGGTAGAGGAATAGGGTAACTTCTAAGTATTGACAAGAATGTAGGAATCATGAGATTGAAGCACATGTGATGTGAACAATATTGCCAACAAACCCATATGTGTTTACTAAATTATGTTTTTTTTTTTAATTATTATTCTTAAGGCATCTCAAATCTAAAAATTCAGATGAATTATTTACTGTTTTGTTGAATGCATAAAGCAGATACAAATAACTAAAGAATTTTCTATATATATAAGGACTTAAATTTGAAACTAATTATTTAAACGATTAGAATTTTTTCTGTTCAAAACAATCACTTTAATTGTTTACTAAATTATGCTAATCTCTCCAAATGATTCATTTAAAAACATTCACATTATTTCGGTCAGTTATTATTCTAAAGACTCAAGATCAGCATCATCATCATCTTTTATGGGTTAGTTATTAGTTATGATCGAGGAAGAAGGAATCTTTCCATGTTCTGTGGTGATAAACCAACACACAAACAACGCCACTATGACTAAGCCCTTTATTTTTTGTTAGCGGGCAAGTAAAAATGGTGAAATGAATTTTGATTTCTATAGTTTTGTCCATCAAACTATCACATTTCACGTACTTCTGCTTTTAAAAGTCAGTGGTTTTTCCATCTTATTTCTCACGCCATTTTTTATTTTTATTATCAAAATAAGGGCAAAACCTTAGAAATTATAAAGGGATTTTTCTGGGTTTGATAATCCCATAGATATAATTCAATATAAAACCAACACAATCAAGAGGAGTTTGGATTCTAATAATTAAAAAAAAAAATGCTAGTTTAACACTTTAATTCTCAAACAAACAATTTATCCGACAAATGGAACATTCTCAACCCACCAAGCAAAACCTACTTCTCGAATTGTTTTCATATTTAGAATAAGTGAACATTCACTTATGTCAAATTAACTCATAAATTTAATTTTTCTTCATAGGAAAAGTCAAAAGTACTATCCATACTATAATATTTCTCATAAATTTGTCATCACTCCTCAGTTCATTCTGTAACAATTGATCAACGTAACGTTACTGCTGCAACATTGAGGTTGGTGTATGTTCCTTTGTAATTAAGAGGATTGAGATATGGAAAAGGAAATAATTAAATAGATTAAAAAAAAAAAAAAAGGGAGGGGAAGGAAACATGAGGAAATGGGACGAAGTGATGCACATTATCCCACCATTGCCAACAGCCAATTCTTTTTAAGAAAAAGTTTTAAAAAATGACATTCGAGAGAGAAAGATAGAGAGAGGAGAATATGTCGAATTTCACATGCACACATGTGTAACGCTGCTATTTTATTTTATTTTTATTTTTTAAAAAATTAAGAAAATGGAGGCCATGTGAAGCAGCAGCTTCCTAGGGAAACCACCCTATTTCCTTCCTCCTATTATTGGAGAGAGAAACAAGTAACCAAGAGTCTTACTCCTATTTATTTACTTCAACAAAATAATAATATTAATAATCACATATTTAGTACATTTCTTTTAACGTGATTCATTTTTTTATCACATCTTTTTATTTTAGATGTTTTCTTAACGTGGCTTATCCGATAGGATTCCTATCAATTTTTCACTGACAAATGTATTGCCACGTTAGAAATATTTTACATGTGAATTTTTTTTTCAAAAATACCTACTAAATTAAAGAAAAACATTAAAAAATTATTTCTTTCAACTTTTGTATGACATGTCATTTTACGTAACACTTGCACCTGATATCAAATGTTAGCTATCATTAGTTATTTTAAAATTGAATGAAATCTTATGGAATTTAAAGAATTACATTAAAAAAAAACTAAAATAAAATTACGTGATAACTAAAAAAAAAGAATAAAAGAGGCAAATTAAAAATATATCAAGAATAGAAAGAGGAATTGTGTGATTAAACCTTAAGAAAGAAGAAGAAGAAGAAGAAGAAGAAGAAGAAGACATAGTAGTAGATAACAAATGGGTTATTTTGGAGAATTAATGGGAGGGAGGGGAAGGGTATGACGTGCTCCACATGGATTTATGCCAAGGCAAAGTGCAGCCAAACCTTTTACGATCCAAAAAAGATGCATAAGGAATGGAAAGATGGAAGAAGTGGTGGTTGCACATGTGCCACATGCTTGCTTGAGGTGGAGGCACTGACTGCCATTTGCCAATTTGGCATGAGAAGGAAACTACAGCCACACCCTCCCCACGGAGGCCAGATGTACGATGACTTAATGGCCTCATCGTACTCTGTCTATGAAGAGATGAGTAGCTTGCAATGAAATATTGGTGTTCCATAGTAAAACACAGTTTACCGATTATGTATTCAATAACTTTTTTAGGTCATATAAATTCGAGTTTTAATAATTTAAAATTTTCTAATTAATATTATTTAATAGAAATTTTTCATTGTTTAATTCAAGGTTTGACATGCATTCATTAAATTTTTTTTTAAAAAATTATCTTTCGATCAAAATGGTCTAAATAGTACTAATTGGTTGCATGTGTTATATTATAGATTGTACAAAATACGTAAAATCAGTCTAGTTCAATAGTCTTCACTACAGTGTGAGTCCAACAAAATATATCAAAATAAAAAATGATTTTTTTCACCTAAATTTATATTTTTTAACTCAAACTTTTATACTTAATTAATCATTTCTTATGTTCTTTTTAATAGATTACTTTTTTAAGAAATATGATTTATTTTTTTTATACATGACTTCTTAAATAAAAATTAGAAAAAATCTAAAAATCAAGTTTTAATGAAGAGTAAATTAAAAAAAATATATGTATAAATTTAGTATTTTTCAAAAGTTTGTGTCGAAAAAATAAAACAACAATTTATGTAAAAAAAAAGCATAAAAATTTAAAATTTTTATTATATAAAAAAGTAAATAAAGAGGTGTATTCTATTTTTCCTTCTTAACATATATTTTTATTTATAACCATAAATATTTGGTCTTCGTACATAAGTCTCGTACTTATAACAATCGCTCTTTCTTTTTTACATTTCTTAATTTTAATTATTTTTAAATAAATTTATTTAAAAAAAAATCTGCAATACACACACACATACACATATGTGTGTGTGTGTGCGCGCGTGCATGCATGCATGTATTTATCATGATGATCTTATTTAGAAATTATAAGAATATATCGTATAAACTATGCTTATTTATTTATTTTTATTAAAAAAATATCATATTCATAAAAAAAAATTCCAAAATCCAAACATAGAAAAACATAAGTCATACATGTAAATACATAATATTTTATAGATAAAAAAAATAATTGGATGATAATTTTCATAAAAAATGACAAGGGAAAAATTCAAATAATAATAATAATAGTAATATATTTTGAAAATTATTTTAATTTTAAAATATGAAAACACATCATGAATATTTATTCTTCGCTAGGTTGCGGAAATATCAAAAAATAATTATGAGTTTTTCAAACTCTAAGCATAAAATCAAACGACCCAAAACAAATTAAAAAAAAAAAAAAATTGGGCATTCACCCTTAGACTTGGAGAACTAGGTCCATGCATGCACGATCTAAACATTAATGGACCAGCTCTTAAAAGTGAAATGGCAAACAATGCATCGCCTTCATAATTTTCTATTAGAAAATTCAGACACCACATTTTGACTTTTCAAGGCTAATTTGATCATTAGTTTTTCTCGAAACACCTCAAAATCATTGAAATTAACTCGAAACTTATTTGAAACTTTAAAAATCATTTTAATGCACCTAAAAATCTCAAAATGAATTCAAAAACTCAAAAATAGTTTGGGGTCTTAATCTCCTTTATCCGACTATTTCACATCTTAAAACTATCATAAACTAACTCTCATCTCTAATATAAATAAATTAAAACCAAGATTGACAATCAAGATGGTCGGTTTGGATCTCATAGTGAGTTTCTCCCGCGACATTCCTATCTATGTTCAAGGACCAAATCACGAT